GAGGCATGTTTCGATACTCTGTAGAACCGAAGCATTTCGGTCGGTACCATAAAAGAACCGAAGTTCGGTACCCAGCCCTAGTGATCAGTGGGTAAAAAGGAGTTTTAATATGTTGTTAATTAAAAAAGTCCACCTCAAACATAATCTGTGCAGTCAGTTCATCAAGATTACAATCCTGACTTCAAATATTATTATCGCTGTCGGACCAGAACTAAACCCCGGTACACCAGCGGTGCAACGTCACTGGAAATCCCCTTCAATAGCTGCTTCAAGCACCTCTTTGGGGCTTCCCTACTGATGTTGGCGGCTGCAAGAAGGCAGGGTTTATACAGGAATGAGGAACTCTAATTTAATGCTCTTAAATAAATAATTTTAATGCCATAAACAAGTACCCATGTATGGAGGACCAACTCTGCCATATTTAAAAATAAATACAGAAATAAATAAATGCTCAATAAATAAATAAATAAGCATACAATTAATTGCCACCAAAAATACAATAAACAAATAAATGTAAGTAGAAATTAAATTATAGAGTGAGACAGAAATGTATATAACTCTTTTAATTAGCTTCTTATAATTATTTAGCTTAATTATTTGTCTTTTATAATCTTCAACTTTATTTTTTTATTACTTATATTTAAGTATTTATTTATGTGCATGTTATAATAGCGGCGAAGAAATAACTAAGGTAAAAAAAATACATAGAAAGAATAAAACAGACAAAAATATGACAACATGCACATAAATAAATACTTAAAAATTTAAGTAATTAAAAATAAAGTTGAAGATTATAAAGGACAAAAAAATAAATAAGGTAAATATTACAAAGGCAAATAAATAAAGAAGCTAATTAAGAGTTATATACATTTATGTCTCACTGTATAATTTAATTTATACTTACATTTATTAGTTTATTGTATTTTTGGTGGCAATTAATTGTATGCTTATATATTTATTGAGCATTTATTTATTTATGTATTTATTTTTAAATATGGCACAGTTGGTCCTCGATACCCATGACTGAGATTGAGATATATAAATAAATAAATAAAAAATCCTTCATCATCTTTACCGCCGACAGGCTGCAGCCATGTCCTAAATTCCTCATTTTTTAACCACTTTTGTTGAAATGAGCTTTTTCCCCCCCATTCTCTTGCTTTTTCTCCGCCTCAAGCTTCTTTCCCGAACATACGGCTTTACGATCAAACGGAAGCAGTTACGCGCAAAGACGCAGAACATATTATATCTCATGTAATATATCTGACAAAATTGTTTACATAATTTTTTTTTTTTTAATGAAAGCATTTTAAATGCTACAATAATCACATTTAATGAATTTTAATGCCAATTAAGGCCTTAATTTAAAAAAATAATAATTGAATGACTTATTAAAACCCTGGTAGATGTTAGCGTTTTTCAGGTAAGCGTTACAAACTGCAGGCATCAGGCATCAGGATAATTAGATCAAACATATTTTGCTGTCAGGTTGACGTTTTAAGTTAATTTAGGCGTTGATAAACTGTTCCAGAGGAGTGATCACAGCGCTCTGCATCAGCAGTGCTGTGTCCGTCTCCCTGCCAGCTCTCAGATCAGCTTCTCTGATTGGTTGATGTGGCGTGACGAGCAGCAAATGTTACATTTTTTCCAACTCCAGCAGCGCATGAGGCGCAGCTGCTGCTGATAAAAACACGCTGCATGACCTTTTGATGCACCTTAATGCACATCAACCATTGACTTTGCATGGAAACTAGCTGATTCTGCTGCTGAATGTAGCATTACAATCATAAAACGATACCAGTAAGAAGAAATCTACAGATGCTGCGGTTCAGATCAGTAATTTCTTCATGGACTACAGATAACAGAGATTTCTCCCCCATCAATATTTATCTGAGCCGCTGTGAAAGTGAAATGAAGAACATTACCCAGTTCAGAGGTCTGTGCTGTATCAGCGGAGCCGGCCTGACTCTGGATGTTGAACATGGATTCGTACACTTGAGGGTCATCAGAGTCGTCATCGCCCCCCTCACTGCCAGAAAAACAGAAATAATAAAAATAAACAAGGTTACCTGATCATGTTAGTTAACCATGTGTTTTAGATAGAATCAGATGAAATGTTATTAATGAAAAACAATGCAGTGGTTCTTCTTTACCTTGCATCAGTGTGGCTGTTGGTCTGGGTTGGAGGTGGGGGCACCAAGGAGCCTGTAATGACCCAGGGGGCACCAGAGACTGGGAGGGAGGTGGGACTCATGTACTCGTTCTCCTCACCGTCTGATGATAGCTTTTCTCCAGCTGAAATCACTGATTGAGACCTGCACAAATGAAAGCAAAGTTGTTTTTTTTGTTTTTTTTAAGTATAAATCAAGCAAAGAACCGCAAAATCATGAAAGTGTAGTTACACATAATAACTGCAGGAGGAGCCAAAGAGCCACAAAACTTCCAAGACTGGTCCGTTTCATTCAAATTCTGGTTTTGCATTTGGAAAAGTCAGATGAGCAGAGCTTCATACCTGACAGGCACGGAGTAGGTGACGTTGTTGGCTACCTGGGGCCGGATTCCCTCCCCATTGGTGCCGCTGCTCTGAGGGATGGAGGCCTTGGTGGAAGGGCGAGGAACCATGTAGTTGGCTGCCCAGGCAGGCTGGTCGGGGGTGGAGGGCAGGGGCCTCCTCTGGAGTCTGGAGTCTTGGACGGGGATGCAGGGTCGCTCAGGAGGGGGGGGAGGGGGCAGCTCTCTCACAGCAGGAGGGGGAGGTAAAGGCTTGTCTCTGTGATTGACTGCAACCTGGGATGTAAACACAAGGGGATGCTGGGAGTTATAAACAAGCAAAGGAGGTGAAAACATCTGCTGACGCAAATATGGGTTCAGCATATTTACAAACACTCCAACATCATCTTATAAACAACATTTACGTTGATTTATACCAAATAAGTTTATATTTAAGTATGCAAAAATTAGACTAACACTAGGATCAGCGTTTTGACCAATCGGATAAATAAGATAAATGCATTTTTCTTTTTGATAATTTCACTTTATAAGTTTAAATTCATATTTTATGAACTTCATGAAACACAGCTGAATTGTTCAGATTTTTATTTTTCCTGTCAGTTTGGATTATTAAAGGAAAAGTCCGGTCATATTCAGAATTAAAACTTCTGAAAGTACTTTAAATATCNGAAAACTAAACCTAAACACCAAGCATTTAAATAAGCCAAATTGTCCAACTAAGAGCGTGGTGCTGAATGTTTAATCTCCTCCAGCAGATGGCGCCAAAGGTTAAGATTAAAGGTTTCTTCATTATGGGTGTGGGCCCATTGGTTTTAGAGATAATGGTGACACACTCATACACAGCTTTACACCCAAACGTAACAATGTAACTGAAGAGGCTTTTTAAACCGGTAAGTTTGGCACAGCTGCTTGTTTAACAATAAGCTGTTTGTATTTATGAAAAAATGGGATTTGTCAAACTACCGGTTCAGTTTAAAGTAGCTGAAATGTTTAAATACTTATGGAAAATCAGCAAGGAACCGTAGCTGAAGCTGTTTAGTTGTATAAATGGAGCTGATTACTTGTTTGAGTTTTTCTTGTAATTATTTAAACAAAATCAAAGAGTCTTTTTTCAGAGACGTACATTAACATAACCTGTAATAGTAGCAAAAACCTGGATAAAATTCTGTATTTTGTTTATGCTTCTGAAGTTTTTCAAAACATAATATTATAACTGTCTGATAACTGATTGTTTTTAAACCTGAGGTGAAGTTTAGAGCCATGTTAAGAACTGCCACAGGGCAGACTGCACGTACCGGCTTCTACTGAGGCGTCCATGCTAAGCGAGTTGAAGGCTCCAGAGGGACAGCTGATTTCAGACAAGTTTCTTCTGGTCGGGGCGGGGGGGACAACGGGCCGAGGGCGGTCAAACTCGTAGATTTCCTCCACGCTGGGCTCTTCCTTTTTATCCTGGGAAACCACAACTGGAGGCTGAGGGAGCTCTAAAAAAAAACACAAAAAACAAAAAGTACATTAATGAACGCTTTGGAGCTTAAAGCTACAGTGTGTAATTTTCAGCGACATCTAGCGGTCAGACTGCAGACTGCAGCAACATGAACATCTCTCCATTTTTTATGGTACATTCAGAACATGTAGGCCAATCACTGTCCCAAAGACATCCGCTGTTATATTTTTTATATTTCTATTTTTTAAAAACAAAGCGGTGCGTGTATGACGTCATCCGTGCGCCGGACTGGAGTTGTGACAGGAAGCCCGCGCCACAGGCGGCTACGCTCTACTCCTTCTATTCATTCTAGCTAATCTGAATCGTTAAATTCCATTTGGAGAGCGAGATCATCTGTGGTAGCAGCACTAGACATCTTCCAGGCATGTGAGGAAAACTAGCAGCAGTTCAGCGGACAGGAGGAATGAACGGTAACCGGTGCGCGCGGATGACGTCATACAAACGTCAACATTGTGCCTTCAAGTCGTTGCCCATAGGAAAACGTTACTTGGATATAACCTAACGGAATATCTTCAGAACGGCTATATATACAGTTATGTCTCACTGTATAATTAAATTTCTACTTACATTTATTTGTTTAATGTATTTTTGGTGGCAATTAATTGTATGCTTATTTATTTATTGAGCATTTATTTATTTCTGTATTTATTTTTAAATATGGCACAGTTGGTCCTCCATACCCATGACTGAGATTGAGATATATAAATAAATAAATAAAAAATCCTTCATCATCTTTACCATCGACAGGCTGCATCCATGTTCTAAATTCCTCATTTTTTAACCACTTTTGTTGAAATGAGCTTTTCCCCCCCCATTCTCTTGCTTTTTCTCCGCCTCAAGCTTCTTTCCCGAACATACGGCTTTACGATCAAACGGAAGCAGTTACGCGCAAACACGCAGAACATGTTATATCTCATGTAATATATCTGACAAAATTGTTTACTTCCATTTTTTTTTTTATGAAAGCATTTTAAATGCTACGATAATCACATTTAATGAATTTTAATGCCAATTAAGGCCTTAATTTAAAAAAAATAATAATTGAATGACTTATTAAAACCCTGGTAGATGTTAGCGTTTTTCAGGTATGCGTTACAAACTGCAGGCATCAGGATAATTGGATCAAACATATTTTGCCACCAGGTTGACATTTTAAGTTAATTTAGGCGTTAATAAACTGTTCCAGAGGAGTGATCATAGCGCTCTGCATCAGCAGTGCTGTGTCCGTCTCCCTGCCAGCTCTCAGATCAGCTTCTCTGATTGGTTGATGTGGCGTGACGATCAGCAAATGTTACATTTTTTCCAACTCCAGCAGCGCATGAGGCGCAGCTGCTGCTGATAAAAACACGCTGCATGACCTTTTGATGCACCTTAATGCACATCAACCATTGACTTTGCATGGAAACTAGCTGATTCTGCTGCTGAATGTAGCATTACAATCATAAAACGATACCAGTAAGAAGAAATCTACAGATGCTGCGGTTCAGATCAGTAATTTCTTCATGGACTACAGATAACAGAGATTTCTCCCCCATCAATATTTATCTGAGCCGCTGTGAAAGTGAAATGAAGAACATTACCCAGTTCAGAGGTCTGTGCTGTATCAGCGGAGCCGGCCTGACTCTGGATGTTGAACATGGATTCGTACACTTGAGGGTCATCAGAGTCGTCATCGCCCCCCTCACTGCCAGAAAAACAGAAATAATAAAAATAAACAAGGTTACCTGATCATGTTAGTTAACCATGTGTTTTAGATAGAATCAGATGAAATGTTATTAATGAAAAACAATGCAGTGGTTCTTCTTTACCTTGCATCAGTGTGGCTGTTGGTCTGGGTTGGAGGTGGGGGCACCAAGGAGCCTGTAATGACCCAGGGGGCACCAGAGACTGGGAGGGAGGTGGGACTCATGTACTCGTTCTCCTCACCGTCTGATGATAGCTTTTCTCCAGCTGAAATCACTGATTGAGACCTGCACAAATGAAAGCAAAGTTGTTTTTTTTGTTTTTTTTAAGTATAAATCAAGCAAAGAACCGCAAAATCATGAAAGTGTAGTTACACATAATAACTGCAGGAGGAGCCAAAGAGCCACAAAACTTCCAAGACTGGTCCGTTTCATTCAAATTCTGGTTTTGCATTTGGAAAAGTCAGATGAGCAGAGCTTCATACCTGACAGGCACGGAGTAGGTGACGTTGTTGGCTACCTGGGGCCGGATTCCCTCCCCATTGGTGCCGCTGCTCTGAGGGATGGAGGCCTTGGTGGAAGGGCGAGGAACCATGTAGTTGGCTGCCCAGGCAGGCTGGTCGGGGGTGGAGGGCAGGGGCCTCCTCTGGAGTCTGGAGTCTTGGACGGGGATGCAGGGTCGCTCAGGAGGGGGGGGAGGGGGCAGCTCTCTCACAGCAGGAGGGGGAGGTAAAGGCTTGTCTCTGTGATTGACTGCAACCTGGGATGTAAACACAAGGGGATGCTGGGAGTTATAAACAAGCAAAGGAGGTGAAAACATCTGCTGACGCAAATATGGGTTCAGCATATTTACAAACACTCCAACATCATCTTATAAACAACATTTACGTTGATTTATACCAAATAAGTTTATATTTAAGTATGCAAAAATTAGACTAACACTAGGATCAGCGTTTTGACCAATCGGATAAATAAGATAAATGCATTTTTCTTTTTGATAATTTCACTTTATAAGTTTAAATTCATATTTTATGAACTTCATGAAACACAGCTGAATTGTTCAGATTTTTATTTTTCCTGTCAGTTTGGATTATTAAAGGAAAAGTCCGGTCATATTCAGAATTAAAACTTCTGAAAGTACTTTAAATATCAAATTTTTAATTAAGTGTTTTTAATTCAGAGTAATTTTCATGTGAATT